CGTTGTCTTCCTTTCCTGCCTTACAGTCCTGTAACCATGTTTGGGATAGGGTCTCAGCACAGGGACACTGTGGCCACTGCTCATGAAGAGTCTGCCTGTCTGTGTGTCTGTCTGTCTGTGTCTCTGTCCTGGGATAGAATTAATAGATGCTCTAGTTTGTCAGTTGCCTTTGCTGCAGCCTGCTCTGTAGGGTAGGGAGGGAGCATACATCAGCCGGTGCAGACGGGTGAGGAATTATAATCCTCAGGTGTGGAAGGGAACCCTCCCCTTGAGCATTGCGTTGGAATGGCGGTATGTCTGGCCGGTTTTTGGTGTCACCGACACTCCTTAAACAGATTTCTGCAGAAAAGTGGTTTGTGTTGATAAACCTATTGGCATAACCGGCATAGAGGCTAATCCCATAAGACCCGCCAGCTGTCGAGGGATCCTGTTAAATTCTTAGCATCTGCCGGGCGCTCCATAAATGCAAGTTGTACCCCGTGGATGACAGTTTCCAAAGAATGGGCTTTTACCCGGTTGCCCGGCAGGGTGTCAGGTGGGTCTTGCTCTCCTGACAGTATGCTATTAGGTGCTATTCAAACTGAGTTTTTTTTTTTTTTTAAATTTGGTATTGGTGATGTCTTTTGAGACAAAGTCCGACTCTGCAGCCCAGGATAGCCTGGAACTCACTATGTAGCCCAGACTCAGCTCAAACTCAGCTCCTTCCCCAGTTCCCCAACTGTTGAATGAGATTTAGATCTTGAAATTTAGATCTTGGGGTGGCAGAGTGGCTCGGGGACTAAGGGAGCATGCTGCCAAGACTGACAATCTGAATTTGATCCTGGGAACCCACAAGATGGCCTCCCAGTTTTCTTCTGACCTGTTCATGCTTCACAGGGCCACAAGTGCCCCCCTCCAAAAAAAAAAAAAGTTAGATCATTAGTGACTAGATAACAGGAATAACAATTTAAAATTTTATTTATGTGTGGGTACATGCGTGTCTGTGTACCACCTGTACCCTGAGTTCTGTTGGTCATCACTTGAACTTTGCCCTTTCCTGACTCCGTGGTCAAGTGCATGTCTGCCTGCCCTGTCCTGCTTTGGGAAAACGGTCTGCTTTTTTTTGGCTCTGACAGATGTTACACCAGCCTGCATGGTTGTGCTTCATTCAGGCCCTTGGGTTTCTTCATCAGCAGTGGATGAATGCTATATCGCTAGTTCTCATCTGGCAGAGTGCCCTTGGTAATAGGCAAAGATGACAGCCCATTACTGTGAGCTCTACTGTCGTATCTCTGCCCGAGCGGTAGTAACGCAGGGGAAGGGCCCATTCAAAGGCTTGCTGCACGGTTGCTTTTCCGAAGGAGTTGCTATATTTTCCCCCTTTCTTTTGTACTCACCTCGTGTTATATTGGGATTATTTTGGGTACAACAGGAGGAAGGATGATGGAGAGAGATTAGATGGTCCATTTTCACAGTGATGGGCACTGGGTGGTCGCTGGAAGGAGACCAGTGTGTTACTCGACCATGACCGGACTACCCAGGTGCCCTCATTTCTAAGCAGCTAGGTTCACACTGGAGATGAAAACAGAATAGTACGCTTTCCATTTTCGTTTTCATCTTCAGTCCTGCAGATACAAGAGACAGTAAAGATTTTCTTCGACTTCCCCGTGTGCTTGTTTACATTTTGATCTGAGAGTTCACACAGTGATCGGCAAACCTTGATCTGTTTGTTCAGCTTTGAGATGCAGGTTTGATTTTGAACTGAGACATGCTTAGGGGCACTGAGGTTTTCAAGCATTTCAGATAACAGGGGTAAACAGCTGATGTCACCGGAGGATGAGATTTCACAAGGAACCCGGTTTATCTCCCGTGGTTAACCTGCTGGTGTCTTGGGACTAGTGCCCCGGCTTGCTCTTTGTTCTTACCCTGCTTTCTGTCTGCTGCCCTCCTGACCTCTTGTAGGGAATACATTCCAAAGATGGCCATGCCCAGATTAAATACAAGGGCCTGTATTAAGGTTGGGGTGTAAAGAACAAAAACAAAGACTGAAGTTGAGATGATGCTACATGCTGTGGGTGAAAGCCTGTAGGGTATTAGATGGACAGAAGCTTTCCTGTGACAAATGGCTTCTGTATGCAGTGATCAGGTTTACCCATACATATAGGATACCGTCAGGACTGGATGCCATGTCACACTTTTCTCAAAACACTGTTCTCAGAGGCAGTGTTGAATACGTCTCACCTTTGTCTTCGGTTATGAACTCATTCTTAACCTGTGCCAATCAGATGGCCCCAACGTGAACTCAGAACAGCCAGGAAACCTTAGCTGAAGGGGCTTTCCATAAACTCCGGTAGCCTCAGCGGGCTCTTGAGACGAGGTCTTATTGCATAGCTGAAGCTGCCCTCAAACTCATTGTAATCCTGCTGAAGTGTCCCAAATGCTGGGGTTACAGGTACATGCCAGGACACCTAGTTTCAGATAGTCTTCAGCAGGATAATCCTTCATGTTTAAGCAGGTTTTTGGAGGAGCATTTTCTACCAATGGGCTTTGCCAAGGGATAAATGACTACTCTCAAATGGTGAATAGTTTCATTTGCCACAACCCCCCCCCCCCCGCCGCCCTGTGCCTGGGAAGAATAGAAAACAGAGACGTATAAAACATTTTTGATTGTTAATTGCTAAAAACGCTCTCTGTTAAAGGGAGTCCCTTCTCAGGGTAAAATTGCCCCTTTAGAAGGTGTGTTTCAGGGGCTGCTAGTGTGTTTAGAACTGCGGATGCCGTTCCCCACTCTTGGGCAACCACAAAGCCCCTGCCTGTCTTTCAGGTTCTTGTTTAGCAAGCGTTGCAGCCTGCCATCCCTTTAACTCGGTATGAAATGATGAGACAGAGGAACCAAGTAGATTTAGCCCGGAGGCTGATCTCCAGTGTCAGAGCTGGAAGCCTCTCATGGTCCCCTGTAGGCCACATGCAAAGGGGGAGGTGGTCAGGCCAGCCTGCTGGCGCCTCCTTTACTGCTTGTGAAACTACCAGTCATTTAAGACCATGGGCGATGGCGTGCATGTGGTGGAGGTGGGCTTGGTGCTGATGTTGGCTTGTGGCAGCTACCCCTTTGAAATCTAAGCCCAGAGTCAGCTCTGCCGGCTGAGCAGCTTCCCTCTGTCTGTAGAACTTCCGTAAGTAGTGAGAATTGGACCAGGTTGGTCAGAGCCAGAAGCGCAAGTAGCTTGGGTAGATGGTAGATCTCTAAGATAGGTATGCGAATACTTCAGATCCTTGCCTTTGATGTGAGCAGGAGATGGTGGAGTTTCTGCATTTGGAAGAATAGATACTGATTTAAAAGACAAACGTTGAGTTCTCAGCTGTTTTCCCTGACTTTAGCAGGGAGGGGAGGTCATGCCAAAAGCTAGTTAAGAAGCGTGTAAGGGAAGCCGGAGGGAACTTCCTGGTGTCCTTGGCTGGCTGTGGGCTCTGTAGCTAGTGGGTATGCTGTTTGAAGCTCACCTCCCCTAGACTATCCATAGTGGCTTTTCCAGGAACTCGGGTGCTGACCAGTCTCTGAGTGCCCATCTTTTGCGTAGTTCTGAATTTCAGGCTGAGCATTACACGGTTTTACTGCCATTGAAACCATGAGGATAAAGGTGTCCTATAGGGAAGCTGGCGTCTGGGTGGTGGTGGGAGTGGAATGAGTGTGGGCCCGGGGGAAGCGTGAGAGTGGGGCCGGGGGAAGAGTGAGAGTGGGGCCTTTTATTTATTTACTTATTTTCTTTTCTGTCTTTCTGGCTGTCTAGTGTCAGCAGAGACGTGGAATTTATGCTTTATGCAGCTTTCTCTCCCTGGATTTGGCTGTGTGCTTTCTACTTATACACACCAACAGTAAAATTAAAATATCTATTTAAAATAATAAAGGAAGGGGCTGGAGAGATGGCTCAGCAAGTAGGAGCGCTGGCAGCTCTTCCCCGAGGGAATCTTGGTTTGACTCCCAGCACCCACACGGTAGCGTACAGTAGCCTATAATCCTAGTCCCAGGGGAGCGGGCACTGCCTTCCCGGCTTCCGTGGGCACTGCGCACATACGGTGCCAGACATCCACGCAGACACACACCATACACAAAAAAATCTCAAAAATTAAAAAACAAACAAACAACTAAAGGAATGTATGTGGAATAAATACATGGAAATGTTGGTGTCTTTCCTCTGAGTCTGTTTTCTTTCTAAAGGGGACTTTCTTCAAGTGGTTTTGTTTATTAAGAACTCTGGGGGAGATGAGATGGCAGAAGAATGGTGCCACCTACCGCATTATGCTTGGCCCCTTTTGGTGGAGTGTTGCCGGTGTGTTCTCAACTCAGTCATACTTGCCTTGGCAGTCACCCCAGCTTCCACCCCTGGGTTTCCAGTAGGGAAAGAGTCAAATGTGCAAACTTGTCTTTCTATTAGCCTTGGATCATCCATTTGTATTACCTCACAGTAAGTACTCCTGAGGACTCAATGCCCCTCTGTGACAGTTCCAAGAACACATGGATGTGCTGGGATTCATGGTTCATTCAAGGTGGTGGCATTGAGGGAGTATTCACTAGTCACAGGTTGCCCCGTCTGTTGGGAGGGAAATCCACTCTTTGCTAGTTTGACCTGCCATTGTTAAGAAGGCTCATGAGTAGTCCACCGAGGCCCTTGGACTCACAGTGAAGTTGTTCATAGTGCCACTGCCAAATACCTCTGCTTTGTTGTTGTTTTCACGTAGAGTTTTTGCTGTGTAGCCCTGGCAGTCCTAGAACTCCCTCTGTAGACCAGGCTGGCCTCGAACTCACAGAGATCTGCCTGCCTCAGCCTCCCTGAGTGCTGGGATTACAGGTGTGTGCCACCGCGCCACACTCAAATTCCTCTGCTTTGAATGATGGTTCACAGATGAAAATAGAGCTCTCCTTAAACTGGGCCCCACTAGAAGCAAGAGCTGTGCTACGTTCGGGAAGTTCTCCGAGTCCTCACCACATGTTTTTGTTTTGTTCTTTCAATTTTTTTAAACAGCAAGCGCGGGCTGAGCAGGAAGAAGAATTCATCAGCAACACTTTATTCAAGAAAATCCAGGCCTTGCAGAAGGAGAAAGAGACCCTCGCTGTGAATTATGAGAAGGAGGAGGAATTTCTCACCAATGAACTCTCACGGAAACTCATGCAGGTAAATGGTCTCTTGCTCCACCCTCTCCCCGGTCCCCCCAACGTGCTTGCTTTCCTCTCCCGCTCCAGGGAAAATGGCTTTTATAGAGTGCTTCACTTCACATGTGCCAACGCAGTTGCTGCCTGGGTTCTGTGAGGTTTAAGAACACGGATATGGATCCTTCAGATGGTGGCTCTGGAGCCTGCCTGCCTGCTCAGGAAGGGTGGCAGTGTGTAGCTTATGGGCACCAGCTTAAAACCACGGGGGAGGCTGCACACAGGTAGCATCGTGGAAATACGGGCTCAGCATCAAATGGAAGGTTTCTTTCTGGTGCGTCTCCCCACACCTCCACAGTCGTAGGAGGGTCTTCTGCACTCACGTCTGTGACTGAAGTGTGGGCATGTTCTGGTGGGTGAGTGGTGGGTCACTGAGCGGATCGCACTCCCGTCTCTAGAGTTCTGCAGCCGAGCCATACACAAAGCACACAGGAGGGCTTGGCTCTGTGGTAGGAATTCATTGGTTTCCCTGCTTGTTTGGGTTGGTTGCAAAATTCACTAACAAAATACAACTAAAAACTCCTACGGCAGTGGCTCTCAACCTGAGGGTCACGACCCCTTTGGAGTTTTGAATGAACCTTTCATAGGGGTTGCCTAAGACCATCTGAAATATCAGATGTTCACGTCATGATTCATAACTAACAAAATTACAGTTGTGAAGTAGCAACGAAAATAATTTTATGGCTGGGGGTCACCACAACATGAGGAACTGTATTAAAGGGTCGAGGCATCGGGAAGGTGGAGGACCCACTGCTCTATAGAGAGAGTTTGTATGTTTAATTCCTATTCATTTAATAATAAGTCAGATACTGAGATAGCAGGTAGACAACCATGCGGAGGCCATCTTTATCCGTGCTGAGGTGTCACTAAAGGAAGCCTGTGTCTGCATTTTCTGTGTCTTAGTGTGAGGTTCTTTATAAGAAGATGCTGTCGGCCTGCCACGCTGTGCCGGGGGGCTCTTACCTCCTCACACAGGCGCTCCTCCAGGAAGCTTTGGTGTATAGAAGCTTCATCGGTAAGATCGTTCATCCGGGAAAGTCCCTTTCTCGATTTTTCGTTCCTTGTCACTGAGTAAAGACAGTGCTGGAGCTTGTACCAAATTTGATTCCAAAAGTGGCCATTGATGTGGGACTGATACAGGTGGCCAGGACGGTCATTAGCAGAGGCTCATAGCAGAATGTTTTGCACAGTTAAAAAAAAAAAAAATTCTTGCATTGTAATTTAGAGAGGGGGGAGGAGGTTAATTTGACTTGCGGTGGCCTGCCTTTCCAGTGACAGTGGTGTCCCTTCTAGTAAGATACAGAAAAAGAGGGAGAAATGTGAGAGCCCCAGGAGGTGACAGGCCAGGCATGAGCCAGCTTGGGCAGCGCACTGACCTCCCAATGTGTTATCAATTCAGCTCTCTATTATGAACCTGCCTCCACACCCCTAATCTTTCTTTCTAAAGAGAATAGTGTTTGAACTATGTAACACACTCCCCACAAAAGTAGCATGTAGCCTGAGACTTCATGTGGCAGTGCCCGGTGTCCACCCCTTGTCATAGTACACGGCGTGGTGTCTTGGGACACACTGTCAGATTCTGGCTGTTGGACACCGGGGTGGTTGGCACGTCCGTAGACAGTTTCTTGTGAATTTTGCCTTGGGTTTTAGACTTTTAGGTGGTTGTTGGTTGTTAACTTGTTGTGGTGAACCTATAGTTTGTTTTTGAGGGCTTTATGCATTAATATCTGACAATGGCACTGCCCTCCATATACACAGTGTTGTCAAACTGAAACTCTTACGTTGCCTCATCCTCTTCTGGGTCTTGGGGTTTTGAAGGCATTGAGAAGCGTGTTGCTTGAAGGTGTGCATCTCTGGCTAACCTCCAAGTGGGGGTCATTTTGCAGCTTTATAAACGTGTCCTGTTAAGCCATCAGCTGCGATGGGTGATCCTGGTTGAAAACCTGACAGGATTAGAATGAGCATAGGAGATGCACTGTGAGAGCATTTCCAGACAGGCTTAACGGAGGAGGGAAGACCTACCCTGATTGGACGCCAACCATCCCCATGGCCTGGGGTCCTGGGTAACTGAGAGAGAGTGAGCTGAGCACCATCATTCATCTCGTTCTGCTTTCTCCCTGAGGATGCAGCAGGAAAATCCACTTCATGCCCACTGCCACACCCATGATGGACGTATTCCCTCAAACCATGAGCCAGGTTCTACAAATGTCTGAGAACCTCCGCCATTGACCAGTTGGAGGATTCATAGCTACAGGAAAGGGCTGTCTGGGGTTTGGTCCTCATTTCTTGGTGTATGGTACACATCTCCTTAATGGATTCAGCCGGCCCTTTGCTGAATACTGAAACTCTGAACCACCCAGTGTGGAAATACTTTCTCCATCTGGAAGATTTTTTAGAGTAATTGTGGCCAATAGGCCTTTCTAATTGTATAATTGCTTTAATATGGCTTTCTAGGTGTTTGCTTCTGTTTATGATGCTTCGAAATAAAAAGCTTGCTACGAGAAACCATGTTGTAGGTGCTACTGACAGACACAGGGCAGAGTTGACATGTTTTCCACGACAGTGTTTAGCTTGTTTCACCTAAAGGCTACTGGGCACCTATTTATAGGACAGTGTGGTTTTTCTGTAGTGATTGGGCATTTTTAAAATATGTGTTTCAGAGGGATTCCTGAGAACAAAAGAGACTTGTTAGCTGAGGCCCAGTGGAGGTCTGCCTTTCTCTGTCTTCATGGGTTGACAGGAATGCCCCCACTACCCCTTTAAAACCAAAACCCAGTTCATGAAATTGTAGATGAGAGGCCCCCTCAGACTACCAATCTGGGATGAAGATAATCCTCAGTAAAGCAGACAACACACACAGTCAAGCTTGCATCGTGTAGCTCTTCTCCCTTGGGGAGGAGAGGGGCTGGCATGTGCTTTTTTGTTTTGTTTTGTTTAAAAGGGGCATATCCCCTAGGACCAGTATTACAGAGGATTATGAACCACCATGTGGGTGCTGGGAACCAAACCGGGGTCTTCTGTGGGATCAACAAGTGCTTTTAACTGCTCCATGCTTTTCTATCTTATAAAAACTTTATTCTAAGAAATGTGTGTCTTTATGAGCCCAAATTGTGGGACTGACTACTTGATTCGTGAAAGAAGTGACCAAAGAGAATGATTTTGGGGAGGGTGTAGTGCTGACCTGCTCTGCGGTCCCTCAGAGAGAAGGCGTTGTCATCACTGTTTGTAGTTAAAATGTGTATATGATGTTCTTGTGAGCAAACTGTAGGTCAGGCTGTGATATGAGACACGTACATTAGAAAAAAGTCTGGGGAAAAGGGGCTGGAGAGATGGTGCAGAGGTTAACAGCTGTCTGTTCTTCCAAAGGTCCTGAGTTCAATTCCCAGCAACCACATGGTGGCTCACAACCATCTATAGTGAGATCTGGTCCCCATTGTGGCCTGCAGGCACACATACAGGCAGAGATAAATAATAAATGTTTTTTAAAAAAGTCTCAAAAGCAGCTCTCTAGAGCATTGGGTGCTGATCACACAGTCTATTGTTTATTTGTTAATGTGTTAACGTTTTGAGGGAAGGTCTTGATAGTACCCCAGTTCAGGATTCTCCTGCCTCAGCCTTTCAAGTACTGGGATCACAGATATGCACCATCACACCCAGCTAGCTTATCTTCATTGCTTGTGTAATGCCTTTTCTCATCGTTGTATACAAGCAACATGCATTTCTGTAACTCGACACTTTTTAAATGGGATTTAAAAATTCCATCAGCTAGATTGCTCTTGCCTGTTGAGAACTCCTCCTTGCACCTCTGACTTTAGCCCTCAGATCCACACATGGCATTGAGGCCCCGCAGGCAGGCATGTTCCGGGTAGATAGAAGGTTCTCATTTACTCCATGAACTGAGTGGCCTGCTCCTCGATCACCTCTCCCTAAGGGGGGAGCAGCCTTACCAGGCCACAGAAGAAGACAATGCAGCCACTCCTGATGAGATCTGATAGACTAGGATCAGAGGGAAGGGGAGGAAGACCTCCCTTTTCAGTGGACTGGGAGAGGGACACGGGTGGGGAAGAGGGAGGGTGGTACAGGGGGGATACAAAGTGAATAAACGGTAATGAATAAAAAAAATAAAATAAAAAAGAACTAGTATAATCCATTTGCCCGGTGGGATTCACTCCATGCTGACCCTCTGTTGATAAGAACAGAATTCCTAATTGCCCTAGTTTCCTACTATGGCTCTTCAGTGCTCACTTGGCCTGGCATTAGCAGCTGGACAGTCCCCACTGGGCTGTATGCACAACCAGATACATCAGGTTCACGTCCTTTGTGTGTGCATGTCACCCTGTTTCTGATTGTTGCTTTTACTTCTCTCTGTAAATAGAACTACAAAAAGTCAACGAATACTTTGGGCCCGTTTTTTTTTTTTTTTTTTTTTACGGTATAATAATTGAGGGTAAGGAAGATTACATCTTCCTCAATTAAAAAAAAAATCTTCCAGTTTTCAAGTAGCATACGTTAAAACAACAAATAGGTTCAAGATCTTATACCTTTGATTTAACACTTGAAGTAGAATCTGGCCCAGAGGGAAATGTGGCCATTCTAGCTAGAATAGAAACGACTATAGTATCATGCTAATAAGTTGGTTCTGTTTTCTAATTATGTGTGTATTAAGTGTTTGTGCATGTTTGTGCAATGCCCGCAGAGGCCAGAACAGTGTGTTTGGATGCCTGTGGAGCTGGAGTTACAGATAATTGTGAGCTGCCCAACATGGGTGCTGGGAACTGAGCTCATGTCTTCTGCAAGGACAGTGGGTACCATTAACTGCTAAGCCGTCATCTCTCCGGCCTCTCATGTGTCATTTTTGTTATTGATTTTACCATTGAGGTTAGAATGCCTTCCTGAATTAAAGTACTTGAAGCAGTTTCCTAGCATCTGTAGAAACAATGGAAGGAAGTTTTGTGCAAAGCTGGT